TTAATGATTTTGTAAGTAACAGCAGTAATTGGTACATCCGTAATACCCACATTTACCCTAGCTAAGCACGTTCAAAACCAGTTTCTTTTTTAAAAAAAAAAAACAACCGTTACTAGTAAACGATACAACAGTTGCATCGAATACGTGGATGTGTAAAAAGAATAACTCGGTTAATAAGCAACGATTTGAGAACGAAATCACTCCGTGCGATCTACGAGCATCCTCGACGCAATAAGGCAGTTAGACATCGAGGAACGCAATAAATGCAAGTGATATTTCCGGCGACGTTAGCATATAATTACACCGAGGTTCCGGACGCGGCGTTCTGCGGTGAAAATTTTGATACAAAAATAAACATACGAAATTATTCATGCACCGAACTTCTATAACATTGAGCATTCTTAATTGTACATAAGATTTGTAGAATCTGATTCTCTCTTTTAGCTTCTGACGTCTTGCAACTTTTTTGCATCAGACATCAGAACAAGAAATTTATTACAACGTTCCTGTCAAATTTTTATAAACAAAAATGATATCACAGAAAGTGTAGTTGTAACGCGTTAATTAATTATTCCATATTTAAGCGAAATCGATGTTAAAATCTTTCCAAGATAAAAACCGAATTGTCGTAAAAAAAATAATGAAAATCGCGTGACGAACGAGAGAATGAATTTCTGCGTACCAGTGGAATCAGTCCTCGGATCCTCCCTGTGGCCGAAACGCGGATCGGCACCGTAATGAAAATATGCATCCAGCGGCACTCAAGCGATCGAGATTTCACGTGAGAGGTAGAGCCCGGTGCTCGTCGACGAACCCAGCGTCCACCATGTTCGGATGCGGTACCGACGACAATACAGCCGCCTCGTTCTCGACGTCACCGTCGGCGACGTCGCCGTCCGTGGCACCGGTCAACTCGCGCACGTTCCCGGGAAGATAGTCCTTCCAACTTCGAAACAGATACCTGGTGAACTTCCTCAATTGCCGGAACTTGCAGTAAGTCGCGCCCTCGGCGGACTCCAGTTGCTGCGTCTGGATGAGAAAACCCTTTTCCTTGAACGTCTGCTCGAGCTTCTCTCTCTGAAGAGACTTCCGAGTCTTCCTCTTCCGGCGGCCTTCCTCTTGACCAACGCCGGTTCTCTGGCAGGTCGCCGGTTGAATCCGCTCGCCGGCGGCGTTCAGAAACGCCCCGGTCGAGGAACCGGATTGCCCGGCCGATTGCTGAAGCGCTTCCCGTGGAAAGAACTCGTAACCCCGCATACTTTTGTCACCTGTCCCGCTGTAGTACCTGAAGTTACCCCCGGAGTCGACGGACAGACTCTTCTTCTCTTGCAAACTCGGCTTCGCGCCGCCGGTGAACTTGAACTTGCATATGCTCACTTCAGTCGCAGGGTTGTTGTTGTTCTCCGTGGGCATCGGCGGTATGAAGATCGCAGATCGTTTCCGCTTCGTCGGTTGCCCTTGCGCTTGGCCGACGGGCGCGTTTCTCTTCGGCCTGGGTGAAACCGGCGGCTGCACAGGCACCGTTTGTGGCGTCGCCGGCTGAGCCGGTGGCACCAACGGCGGACTCTTCGTCTCCATCATAGAATATATAGACTTCGGGACGATCTTCTGTTCCTTCGGTGGCTGCTCCACGGCTCTTGGAAAACACTTCTCGTTCTGAGCCATTTTTTGATAATACAGAAGCTGCGACTGTAACGCCATTGGGTGAATGAACACTCCGGCGTTCGGCCAGTAAACGAGTCCAGGATTATTGCTCAACACAGGATCGATTATATTGTTGTTGTGATTGACGTTATTGGCGACGCGGGAGGCCAGAGGATTCGAGGGACGGTAGCCCGGCTCGGGATACGTAGTGCCGATGCACTCCACTTCCTCGCCATCACTAGAAGTCTCGCTCTTCACTTGCCCGGATTCATAAACGTTCCCATGCTTCCTCAACAGTCTAATCTTTAACTGATTCAGGTCCCTGATGCAGAGATTCAACGGTTCGTCCTGTTCCCTGGCGTTCTCCACCAGAGCCAATGTCCTCCGGGACTCCTGCGTCAGCCTCTTCTCTAACAGACTGCTGATCCTGTTCTGCACGTCCGTCCGTTGAAACGGCATGTGCGGAGAGATTCTCTCGCGGCAGTCGAGCTTCTCCTTCGGCGACAGCTTCCTCTCTTCGTGGCCAGGAGTGCCGGGGAGTATCGTCCCGTAATTCTTGTAAATCAAATGGCAAATGTCCGCCTTCTTCGGTTTCCTGCCGCGCCTGGGCTTGCTGTTGTCCAACGTGATCTCGCCCATGTAAGGCAGGTCCGAGTACTTCATCGGTGGCCTGCTCGACGCCTGGGACATCGCCGGCTGCTGATTATGGACGTGGTGGCTGGAGTTCAACGCGTGGGACGAGGTGGACGTGATCACGGACCTCCTCGAGCCCGAAGATTGACCCGGGTTCACGGACAGGCAGTGAGGCGACGCGATCTGAGGGCAGAGCTCCTGCTGCATCGCGGCGATGCGTTGCAACCAACCGTGGACGTCCGCGATCGGGCTGGGCGTCGAGGTCGAGCTGGTCGGCGCCGGGCTAGGCACGGTCGGCTCTGTCAGCCTCGTCGGGGACGAGTTCAATGCTTCCTGAGCGAGCGACGCCTCGTAGTGGTCCAGGTACTCTGGTGGCAGTGCCTGGTGATGGAACTTGAGCTTCCATCGTGACTTCCTTCGGCCCCGGCTGGAACCCAGGTCTGCTTGTTAGCGATTAAGTCGCGGCTCCGAAGTAGATTCGATTTGTACAAGGAATGTGTCGAAAGGAATCTATTCAATGAGCAATGAAAGTCTGGAGAATGAAGAAGAAGAATAACTAAAACTATTAATCGATGACTAGGAATATACGTGAAATTTGACTTGAATTAGAAATACTATTTGGAAGTAAATGAATGTAATTGAATTTACATAAACTATGTATGCGGAGAGAATTGATAAATAAAAATAAGGAACATTAACAAATTCCCAACGATCCCTTTACCGTGGATAGATACTCGGTTCCCAATTAATTGGTAATTAATTTCTCGTTAGCTATTCCGCATGGAACGGGCACAGAGACATATGGAAATCGAATGCCTGACGCGAATAATTACATCCTCTACAAGCCTTTCGTTAACGTTGTTTTCCACCTAATTGCATTCCGAACCACACCTCAGGGAATAAAATAAAAACCACGCGACTCTCGGCTACCTCGCACGTGAGACTTATATAGACTTCGGCCGCATTTAAATAAAGTAGATATATGAATAAATAAAGCCAATGTACCATCATCGATCGATGACAAAATAAATCAATTATTATAAACGCTCATTTATTATGCATAATTATTTTCCTGGTTTCTTGTTTCAATTTGTTATTCCGAATTTTATGGAATAGTGAAAATGTTGATAAGAATGGAAATAAAATGTGAAGTGTTAATAAAATGAAATATTCTAAGTTACCTCGGCCTTCCTTTATTACTGAGATCCGAAATAGTTTGTCCCGGATTTTCCTCCAGCTCCTGTATCTGATGACTCGTCTCGTGCCCATGGCTGTGTTTACCGTCGACGGAGGACGGCGACGTGTCTGCGTCTACTTGTGGACTATCGAATTTTTCCCATTAACTTTCTACCGCAGCGAGGAAACAACGGGACGCGACAAATTTCATGTTTTATCGTATGCAGTAAAAGTATGAATAAAGCTGGGTGAGGCGAAGTGAAAGTCGTCACTCGATACGTGGTCAAAAGCGAAAAGGAGTCGTTCCGTGCATGAGACAAACATCCATCAGATGTCATAAATCGTATTCAACCGCAATGTTCCCTGTCGTTCAACATTTTCGTACCATTCATTTTTATTTTAATATCTCCAGTCAGTTTCTACTTTTATTAAATTAAAATGAACAAAAATAACAATTTTTGCTGTGTAATGTTTTATGCGATTCGCCACTGACATCGAATAGAAATTAGAAACTTTACTAGAATCCTTTATTAAACTTTCTGACGGAGACGTCAGACTTATGTAGAAAATATTTCCCAAGTGAATGACTCGCATACACAAATTTCAATCAGAAGCGCGAGCTACACTCCTGAACCGTTTATAAATCGTTGAACCTGTGACTCCGAGACTTGCCTCAAGTACATAAATTACTTTTACGAATCCCGAGGTGATCGTGTTGCATTACGCCGCGTTCAAAAAATAATCTGTCGCTCGTAAACGCCAGCGACGCGTTCACCGACCCGAAGAGACCTGCACCGCGCGTGCATACGCAGCGTATTTCGCAACACGTAGGTATAACGCCTTAAACGCTTCTCACAGCGATTTAACTTCACACCAGCCCGTCCGAAATCCACCTGATTCAGGGAATGGAATGATTAAACTAATGAAGAACATCTTTTCTCTTACCTCAACGCATTCGTGTCACGACTCCGTTCCTCCTCCTCCTGCGGCTCTTGTTTAACCGCCATGTGGAGCAAGGGTGGCGGCAACGGACACTTCACGTGCGACGTGTGATGCAGATGTTGCAGAGGTCCGCTGTCCGTGGGGTCGCCGTCTATACCAGTGGACTCTGCTCCAGGCACGACTTCCTCAGTCTGCATAGTGCCCCCTGCAACAGAAAAAATTACCCATTACGTTACAAATGAATCCAGATGATGTGTACGTCCTCATAAAAAAAAGGATTCTGGGATAAATTAATGATTTATCATCTTGGATATTTTCAGTATTTTTAAAACGACAGGTGGTTTATCGATTTCTTCAATTTATATCATTTATCTCCCTCATTCCAATTATT